TTTCACTTATATAGAACAAATATTTAAAATGTTTTAATCTTCAAAGGAACATCTTACACTTATCTTATATTTCCAGTATTTATTCTTAATTTTATTTCCCTAAAATCACATCCTATACAATGTTTTATATACCAAAAGATGAACAAAATTGCACTTTTTCCCACTTCAATCTCAAAAAAAATTATTTTAAAATCTTTTTTTTTTCAAATTTATTTATAAAATTTATTTTAAAAATTACTTTTCTCCACCTTATAAACCTAATAGATATACAAATTTTTATGTAGTTTTTATAATTTATAAAAAATATATATATATAATTTAATTTTTTATAATTCTATTAAAGTATAAATTTTGTAATGCCTGTGATATTTTCCATATGTATATTTATTTAGATAATAAAAAGGCATATATTGAATAATATAATTATTTAATAATAATTTTAGTGTTTACTTTATTGTTTACATTTCTCAAGTCAATCAGAAACAAGCATTTTTTTAACAATACCTATTTGAAAATAAACACATAATCTTCCTACCTTGCTTATTAACCAAAAAATAAACAACTATGCCAAATCATCAATATAAACAATGAGATGGATTGTAAAAGTTCATTTTACAGAGACTTTTTAATTGAGCATTTGTTGTTTTTGAGAGAAAAAAATTTCATCCATGAAAGAGTTTCTTGAAAAAAATAAAATTTAATCAACTTAATGCTATAACAATGTTTATATTATGATGCACTAGCGCGCCATCTGTTATCAAATTACGAAACTATTTTAGACGCGTAATATTCTTTTTAAAATAAAACAATTTCTACTGCCCTTACTGCAATGGAAAAAAATTAAAGGGAGGGCCTGGCTCATCAGTGGTGAACCCTCCCAGCGGTTTCGCCAGTTTAATCTACCATTTTTTCTTTAATTATATATTAAATTAAACTGGCGAAACTGCTGAGAGGGTTCACCACTGATGAGACAGGCCCTCCCTTTAATTTTTCCATTGCAGTAAGGGCAGTAGAAATTATTTTATTTTAAAAAGAATATTACGCGTCTAAAATAGTTTTGTAATTTGATAACAATGTTTAATCAAGAAAATTAATTATGACAAATAGCTAAACTATTTCTTGATCAAATGGCAAAAAAAAAAAACTTATTAAATATTAAATTTGATGATTAGTGCATTGTACTATATTGATCCAAGTTTTGTTTATATTGAACGTATTTTATAGTCTAAAATATTTTCCATAAAATGATAAGGTACAATTTGGATTATAGATTATAAACACAAGGTAATAAGACCAAATAAATAAATAGTGTGTAACGTTTCGGTAACAGCATTGTTACCATCTTCAGACAAAAGTACTGAATGAGAAATCTTACCAACATGCTGTGGTAAAATTTCTCATTCAGTACTTTTGTCTGAAGATGGTAACAACGCTGTTGCCGAAATGTCACACACTATTCATTTATTTGGTCTTATTACCTTGTGATTGTTCATAAAAATTTATCAATATTGTCGCGGAGATAAATAAAGCAAGGGCAAGTTTGGGGATAATTAATTTATTATAAGGGGTAATTATAGGGGGAGAGAGAAAGTACAACTTACCCCCAGTTAAAGCTAATCCTGAAATGAACGGCGTTAGCCACCATCCCGTTTTCCTTATTTACAGATCAGCTTCCCAGAAGCCCCCACACCTATGGTCCCCCCGGGGTCCAGGGAGGATTGACAGTTGTCCCATCTGGATGGAGCTACTTGACAATATATTAACACTTAGATGATTAAGCACAATTTGGATTATAGATTATGATGAAGAAAATAAGACCTAAATAATTTATTAGTGTGTGACATTTCAGCAACAGCATTGTCACCATCATCAGACAAAAGAATAAATGATATATTATTCTTTTGTCTGATGATGGTGACAATGTTGTTACCGAAACGTCACACACTAATCTTCTTTCTTATTTCCACTCAATCATATTAGGGTATCAAGTTGTGACCCTTGATGGTGTCTGTTTGACAACCATCATGACTAGGTGAAGTATAATGCGTCTGCCTTTGTCATTAAGACTGGGAGCACTACTCAGTGGCAGGCCGACTTAGCTCCAAAAGAAATGGCCGCCTCTGACATGAGGAACAGACGCCATGTGCAGCCGCTCCTAACATGGAGTACAAACGCTGCTCATCCTGTATCCCAGGATCAGGAGCCCTTACAGGTTACTATCAGCTGAGCCCAGGTTTTTTAGTGAGCTTGTTACTGCTCCCCCTCCTCCTTTTTCAGCCGGGCTTGGGACCGCCAAAGGCGGAGTTCACACACTAATAAATTATTTGAATTAGGTCTTATTTTCTTTTATTATTTACACTTAAAGTTATAGTTTTCTTTGAAAATAAAATTATTCAAATGCCCTTATCATAAATTAAAATATATTTAATCAACTTGAGCTTTCAGACACAATGGATCCCTTCTACAGAAGAAAGATTATACTTAGACTCCCCGGTAGAAGATCTCCATGGTCTGAAAGCTTGAATCAAACTTTTTTTTTTTTGCATGAAACACTTCCCTGGATGGAATTTTTTCTCTTAAATGATATAAAAGTGAATATTTTTGAAATTTGTTGTTTTTTCCTTTGCATGTTTTCAATATTTTTTATATGTATATATTAATAATAGACCTTTTCTGTATTATTTATTTTGATTTATTTATAATGTAAAGTATGGATGATAAAAACACAATCTGCTTTATAGATTATAGCTACAAGTAAAATAAGACCTAATCCCAAATAAATTAAGTGTGTGATGTTTCAGTAACAGCATTGTTAACATCATCAGACAAAAAAAATAAATGTTTTCTTTTGTCTGATGATGGTAACAACACTTGTTACGGAAACATCACACACTATTAATTTATTTGGATTAGGTCTTATTTTTTTTGTATGTATAGTAGAATCAGTCTCCCATGAAAGACCATAATCTAAAAACATGGCTAAATCAGGACTTTCCTGGAGGTGGCATCATAGTCTCATTTTGGTTGAAAGACTACTTAGCCTGACATGACATTAGGCTATGGTCTATCATAGGGAAACTTATAGCAGTTAACTTCCAATGCATGCTTCATTTTATCTATCATAATCATTTAAAAAAGATGGAATTATAGCTACAAGGTAATAAGACCTAATCCAAATAATTTAATAGTGAGTGATGTTTCGACAACAGCATTGTTACCATCAGACAAAAGAATAAATGATGGTAACAATGCTTTTGACAAAACGTCACACACTATAAATCTATTTGGATTAGGTCTTATTACCTTGTAGCTATAAGCCAACAGTGTTTCTTATTTGATTATTTATTGTAAATTTGAAGAGGATATTCATATGCACAAAAAAGGACACCTCTCCAGTTTTAAAAATTTTCCAATAAAATAATACATTTTTGTGTATGTACTTCGCTTGAATTAGCCAAAGCTGATATTATGCCCTTCTTTTATATGAATTTATATAATTTTGCATATATACAGATAATAACCAAAACGCATGTTAATAGAAAAGGTGCCCTTTGTGTATTTTATATTCACTAGTCAATTTTTGATCCAAAACTGGCACCAAAATACCAGATATTCTAGTTTTAAATATAACTTTGGTTTATTTTCTCTGTGCTTATTGTGAAGTTTTTGCTTATTCCAAAAGAAAAAACATATTGTAACTTTTTTATTTGGAGAGAAATAATAAATGCAGTTAAACCTGTCTAAAAAGCGCCTTCCTCTTTATAGCGCCTGATTTTAAACATTAAAATGTAAACATTTACATTGAAAGTAACCTGTCTATAGCACCCTATTTTGGTGAGTCCCAAGAGGGGGCGCTATAGACAGGTTTTGCTGTATAAAATAACACTTTTAAATAGTTCTTTATAATATACAAGATGAAATATTATTTTAAAAACAAGATTACATTTATGTGCAGTAAACAAACAACAGTTAACTTGCAATGCATGCTTTATTATATCCATCACATTCCCTCTTCTATTTCTTTTTACTTGCTTGTATATTTATTTTTACTCCCAATTAATTTGTATATACAATTAAACCTGTCTATAGCGCCCCCTCTTGGGACTCACCAAAATAGGGTGCTATAGAGAGGGGATGCTATAGACAGGTTGCTTAATCTTGCAACAGGTTGCATCGTACTATTCAAAATCAAGCGCTATAGAGAGGAAGGTGCTATTTAGAGGGGGCGCTATAGACAGATTTAACTGTATATAGCAAATATGTTTATTGTTTTGTGGTTTTCTTAGTAGAACATTTTTTTTATTATTATTTTTTTACATTTCAAAACCATTTATTATCCCAATCAGTCAATACAATATATATTTTTTTGCTTATTAATATATTTATTTATTTATGAGTCACAAACTCCATATTAAAATGTTATTGTGATTATTTGCTTGACCCCCAAGTTTTAATATCAGAAAGCATATGTAAATATGTATATATTTTCCCAAGGTGATGTAACAGCTGTGTATGCAACAACCCTGTTTGTACTCGCTCACCTGGTTGTACTAAGGAAGTACATATCTACCCCATGTCTTGTTGTATATAGATGTATGTAACTCCAAAGATCTCTAAAACTTTGTCTTTTTGCTTTATTATAAAGATGAATTTACCTATCTCTCTTTAAAGGAAGATGAAGAATATATTGTCAGGGAGCCCCTAGATAATTCCTGGTAAAACTTCCTAGCAGTTTTATCAATTCAATCTACCATTGAAGTATTTGAAAGAGATTATTTGGTAAAAGATATGGCTATACATCAATCAATTTTTTATTTAGTTTTTGATGTTTCAGTGCCTATCTGTCAATCTCTTCAGGAGAATGATGTGGTAATGATGAGAGTGACAGACAGTCACTGAAATGTCAGAAACTAAGTAAAAAATTCCCTCGAGCCGGATTTGAACCAGCAACCTAAGGATCACCGTTGATACATCTATAGTCCTCCGCTCTGCCAACTGAGCTATCGAGGGTTTGCTCAGTTGGAAGAGTGGAGGACTGTAGATGTATCAACGGTGATCTTTAGGTCGCTGGTTCAAATACAGCTTGAGGGATTAAATTGAAAAAAATTGTTTAAAGTATAGCCATATATTTTTCCAAACTTCCAAACCAACAAATGATTGGGTTACAATCTGGATTAGAGTTAAGAAGTCATGAGGTAACAAGATCAAATATAAATTTGCATGTGCCTATTTTTAATTATTATTATTCGAGAAAATGTGTGGAGTCTCCATGATGGGTGCTTCTACTGTAGTTTAGTTATCCAGGGATACCTAGAAGGTGGCAGTCAGTCCCCCATATATTGTAAGTAATTTATGTTCTAGCATTCCTGCCATTCTCAGACTTAAAAGCACTGATATGGAAGAGAGCTTCTAAAACCTGAACTTTTAAAAATAGTTTCCTCTCTCAGGGACATCATCCTTGATATTCACTTTGGAAATCAATTTCTTGAGCTCATAAGAAGAACACCTTCATAAATCAATTGAAGTCTTATCAAAAATGGTACCAATTAAGGGATTATATATTAGAAACACATGCTAATAAGACCAAATCCAAATGATTAAATAGTATATGACTTTTCAGTAACAGTGTTGTTATTTAAACATCCCATACTATTTATTTGTTGTTATTACTTTGTGTTTCTTATCTATAATCCCCAAATATGTTGGTATTCATCAATCAGTACTTTTCTCAACTGTGAATGGTAACAATGCTAATAGATCATATATATAAATGGCTTATATAAGTTTGGTCTTGTTTGCCTTGTGATCATTAAAATCTAACAATAAACTGCTGGGTTCATCTTCCATTCAGAGAGATTTTCATCTTAAAATTGAAAGAGATGTTTTCACCTTCTTACATTCCTCAGATGTTTCAATGATATATATGCATGTGTATTGTACTAGTCATTTACTTCTCTGTCTTTATCATCATTGTTTACTTTATTATTATTGCATTTTACTTATTTGGATTATATTTATTATTTAAATGCTTGGTCTAGTCCTCTTGTGATATTGTGATTTTTTTGGTGGCTCTCAAAGAGAAAATAAAAATGTGGTTCTCCCCAATGTCTTATGTTTATTGGCAGCACAATGACAATTTATCTACATATAGTCCAACTGATATGAACAAAACAGATAAATGCACCAGATCATATAGAAAAATTAAGAAAGAGGATTTTGGCACAGCAAATGTTTGACATATATTACCTTATTTGGATTTATAGATGGAAAATTTGCCGGGAGGAAATTGATCTAAAAAAGCATAGGGTTCCACTCCGGTCAAATTAATCGTCAAAACTAGACGCCATCTATTGACCTCGCCGCAAACTAGCGGCCTTGGGTCGGTGACAAAGCCACAGCACCAGCTTTGGTAAACTGAGAAGCGTCCACCTAGAGACCATGGTTTCTGGCTAATGGCCCTTGTCAGCCTAGGGCGGACTTTATTCCATGAGATCCACATGGGATCTAATGGAATCTTCACAATCTGATAAGTGTTTAACTGGTAAAGTGGCTGGGCCAAATTATAGATGGAAATTTTTCAGTTTCTCAAAGCTGGTGTTGTAGCTGGTACCAACCCGAGGCAGCTAGTTTGCGGCCACAGTCAATAGATGGCGTCTAGTTTTGACACTTATTTTGATGGGAGAGGAGCCCTATGCTTTTTTGGATTATTTGGATTTGTTAGCTTATGAAAAAGGATTCCCCTAATTATGCAACAGGTCATTGCTAATGACTCACATCATCTATTGAAATAAACATTATGTGGTTTATTTTATTGCAGAATATATTGTCCTAAAACTTGGTCATTGAGGTACAGCCTGCACTATATTGACAAGAGTTAGCAGCTTCTTCTTCTTTCTTATCTCCACTCAATCATATTAGGGTGTCAAGCTAAAGAGATTTGACAATTATCATGATTGGGTGAAGTAGAATGTGTCTGCCTTTGTCATTAAGACTGGGAGAACTACTCAGTGGCAGGTTGACTTAGCTCCAAAATAAATGGCCGCCTCTTGACATTCTTCAATATGTATATGTTCAAAAAACAAAACAAACACCTTTCATCCAATATATTTATTTAGAAATTGTATAATATACAGATTTATTAAAAAGTATAACAACAAAAAGGGTAACATTTTGAGAGGCCAACAAAGAGTTTATTTGACACATGTATAGAGGCAGTAACAAGGAAGAATGGACACAACCAATTTATATAAACTTATATATATAAGGGGAAAAAACCATTTTAACAAAAAATATTTATAAAAAGCAATAACGCACCATCTATATATAACAAATGAAAATATTAAACGAGTTTCTTTCACAAATAAATCAAACTTCTACTGTCCTTACTGCGATGAAAAATAATTGAGAGGGCTTGGTTCATTAGTGGTGAACCTTCCCAGCAGTTTAGCCAATTTAATCTATCAGACCGCTTCTTTAGAGCTCCAATATTATATTGGATCATCCTGCTTTTATATGCTACAATGAAGGGTGGAATCTTAGAAATGGTATTAAAGCAAACTATAGACATAAGCTTTTAGGACAGTAGAATTACATATAAATATTTGTATCGAGCCATGCTCTTCTGCAAACAATAGGGACATGGTCAATTAAGCATAAATTAATAAAAAGCAATAACACGCCATCTATATATAACAAAATTTCTTCAGTGAATATCATTTTAACTAGTGTATTAGCCTGTCATATATATATATAAGACATTTTAAGAATAATTCAAAACCTGAAAATATGACAATAAGATTGAGTTATTATTGTGCGGCTAAAATTTACTATAACAATTTTGCCACGTGGAAAATTTAGGGAAGACCAACTTTTTGGATGAGATAACAATTTATTTCAGGCATTAACAAACTACGAGTGATAAACAAAAGATAAGCAAAAAGAGGGAAGTGTATAGAGTACAATATAAACAAAAAAAAAATAATACTCTGCTAATAAATTCTTTGTTACAATATAAAGACATTAGTACAATGCATTAACACATCTGTTACAAGAAATTTAAACTATTTTTTTGATGCTTATGTTTCTTTTTAAAAATAAACCATTTTCTACTGCCCTTACACTTTGATTTCATTTTCCCTTCTCTCCTTTATGTTTTTTTTTAACCCTCTTTTCTCCATGAAAATGATGTATGGTGAGTCCTTACAGGACGGAAATGTCCTAATAAAGCTGTTGTTTTTGTACTGCCCTTACTGCAATGAAAAAAAAAAATAGGAAGACCTGTCTCATCAATGGTGAACCATTAATGGTAAACTAGTGAAACAGCTTGGGGAGTTCACCAATGAGCCAGGTTCTCTCATTACAGTAAGGAGAGTAGAAAATTATTCTATTTAAAAAAGAAACATATGCATCTCAAAAATAGTTTAAATTTCATATAAAGATATTTCAAGCATTTATCTCTTCAAATAAAAGACACTTCGGCCAGTAAATATTTTTATTGTCTCGATAATCTGTTACGATAATCAAGCATTTATATTATATATCTAATCCTTATATAATTCAAAGAATTTTTTTTTAAAAAGGCTTAATATCAAAATAATAACAGCAATACTGAGGCCACTTCCCAACATATACTAAATTGTATTGGAAAGGACAAAGGATCCATGTACAGAGAACCAAGAAGAGTTCTTGAACTTCTTTATAAGCACGACCTCCAAGATCTTGTCTAATTTAGACTAATAAAAGGATAAGTAAAAAAAAAAACAGCAACGCTGAAAAAAATTTTTTTTTTAAGTACTGACAAAAAAGTGCATACTTTTAATATTACTCAAAAAAAAAAAAGGTTCTATAGAATTGAATTTAAAATCTTGTACTTCAATAAAATAATCTCATGTATCAATATTTTGGTGAAAATATGAGATTTCCAGGGATAGCTTTCACGCCTGAAATCTAGAGATCTTAATTCAATTTTTTTTAAAGAAACTTTTATCCCTGGAAATCTGATGTTTTCACTACAATCTTAGAAAAGAATTTAATTCTTTAATGTAAATTCCGAGCTAAAGAAAGACTGCATGATGATTGGCCAATCAAGATCATATATGAGTAAATAGCCAATCAGTTCACATGAATAAACTAATATCGTTATGGGAGGAAGATATTCATGTACTTAGAGGGGAACCTCTCCCTTTAATTATACATCAGAATGATATCTATCTATATATATAAAAATGAATGTTTGTATGTCTGTCTGTATGTCCGGTATACAAATTCGCAGTAGTTCACTAATTCAAACCAAAATTTCCATACATAGGTAAAAAAAATATGGGGAAGATGATAGGCTATTTTAAAAAATATATAAATCAATTATTAAAACTATATAGTTTTAGTCAGAAAATGATGATGACGATGTTGCTGTATCATGTTTGATTATCAGATACAAAAATATATCGGGAAAAATTCCTAAAAGCAGAGACCACGGGTGAAACCAGTTCATTATTTTGTACGCAGGAACAAAATTCTAACAGAAAAACATTCATTCGAGCAGAAAACAAAAGCCAGATCATCTTTCTATAAAAATATCGCTTCTCAGACACAAAGTTTGGAGCGGGACGTTTCACAAGAGTGACATCCACGGCGCCAATTTATAATTGTAACGAATAGTATTTGAAAATCAAAATAATATAATTTTCAAATATCGTTGTGAAAATTTACATATTTATTTTTATATTTTAAAAACACACAAAGTTTGGAGCGGGACGTTTCACAAGAGTGACATCCACGGTGCCAATTTATAATTGTAACGAATAGTATTTGAATAAAAACAGTTAATCGGGTAAACCCGGGCGTTGCCCGGGTCATTCGGCTAGTATTATATATAACCATGGTATACAGGTCAGCTTTTTGTCAAAACTGGTGTTGGGGCTTATTCTTTATCATCACTAGAAAGGTTTTTTACTGGGGTGATGAACATAATACATCTGCCATTGAAGATAGAAAATAATAACAAAATCTACCCACTTGCCCAAAATGTAGCTTGGTACCTGCAGCTCCAGAACACATTTTGGCTTGCATTACATGTACTAAACAGGACCTTT